AGGTTCGCCAGCCGGGCAAAAGCTGCATCAGAAAAAGACTGAAAACATCCGATAGAAAGAAGAGTTGTCAGAACAGTAACTAAAAGCAATAGACCCGGTGCTTACCTGCCTGTCATATTTTAGGCAGGGTAATCTTATCCACAGATTTTTGCATTTTGCCTCTTGAACACCTATTTTATATAAATTATGAATGTAATTTCTCACATACATTCAGTACAGTCTCTGACACCACTGTGATTCAAATAAAACAAAGTAGGTGGGTGAAAACGGACCAAGGTCAATTGTTCAATTAATAGAAATATGTGAACATATTCCTAAGAAGCAGAACTACTGATTGCCTGTTTTCATGAATCCATGTACCTGTTAATAGTTTTGCCTAAGAATAACATCATGGCATTAGGGAGTCAGGGCAAAAATTTTGAGGAGAATTCCAACGGAATGGCTAGTGTTGCTGTACTTTTCAGGGAGGAAATTCTCATCAGAAATCCTGGATTTGGGCTGCTATAATTGAAGAAGTATTTTATTATTCCAACACGTGATACTCTCTCTTTTCATACCTATACTACTCACCCACATATTGAGGATTCCATTTTCATCCATTGAAGCTATCTGAAATGGAGGGCCTGACATTTCTATAGAAGGAATAGTAACAATTTATATTCATACACTGACCTTCATCCTGAACAATATCGAAGGATTTAAAACATTTCCTAGGTTAATACATTCTCTGAAACTTTTATGATCCTCTCAGCTGCATAAAATGGGAAAATGCCCTAATTCTACCAAAGAAAAAAGGCATGAAACTAGTTATGTTCAGTTTATCCTACTAGATAGGCAGATGTTCTCTGCCTGCATCTTTTAAAATGTCTGGATTCTGCACGGACTGTGGAACAGAACGTAAAGTACAATAGATGAAATCTTGTAAGATCTGCAATATGCAGCACATTTCTTTGGACAACTATGGATTTCAAAGTGAAAATCTGCAATGGAAGTAATGATGTCTCCTCTAGCACTCTGCTTGAGAATTTGGGGGCATGAGGATTAAAGCTACTTTGCAAAGGTTGCTCATAAAAAATTAGGCAAAAGGCACAGGAAGAACCACCAAGTGCAGTCACATATTGTAAGTGTATTCAGATAATAAGCAAGTTGTTCCACTTTTTTAGATACGGGGTTTTTTGGACATCATAGGAGCACTGAGACGTCTCTAAAGGCATTCTGATTTCTTTAAAGACATTACAGAAGCACAAAGACTACTCTCTAAAAGCAGTTTTTGAGTGATAACTTGTTTTATCATGGAAGAACAAAATATTGTCTTACAAACAGACGTTATAACAAGCATGCACCCACATCTGATGTGACACTGCACTGAATTAACATTACGTAAAAATGAGAGCAGAAAATAAACATGAATGTTGTATGCAATTGATACTACAGACAACTTAAGAGGCAGAATAGAATTACAAACTGGATTTTGGCTATGATATATATATTTGTTTCACTAGATACCTAAAGAAAGACTCAAACATATTGATGCTTTGAAGAGCAGCCTACATACCCTCCTGATAAGAGAGGCTTGAGAGCCCATAATTCTGATCAGTGTAGAGAGAGGTTGAGACAGGTTCCACTGCTAGTATAGGGGAGGTGTGGTTTACTGAGTTTAGAATGCCATCTGTAATTAAGGATAATAAAAGGTAAACACTATATTATTTTCAACACAAACAACAACAAAACCCTAATCACTTTTCAGCACATGTGAGAATGATGATTACAAAGAAAGAATGGCAAATAATAACTTCATAAAGAAATACTTTGTAAAAGTCTCAAATACCATGCTGCAAACTATTTCCTAAATTAACAAGATACTACTAGATAAATCAATGTTTCACCATTTGTATTTACTTCTCATTTTCCAAATGACTACTGCACCATTTATGCCACTGTACCAGACATTTCATTAAAATCTGCCGTTTGAGGGTTACCATGAAAAGAATTACGTTAATTTCAAGCTCCATAAACAACAGCAGTAGAAATAAATCACTGCTTACTATAGAAAAGACAAAACTGAAGAAAAATTACTCTTACAGAGTATTATTTAACAGAAAATAACTATGCTGAAACAAACAATTCACCACAAGAAAATACGTATTTACCCTTTAATAACATTTAAAAATAAATGTGTATTTAGAGCAATTTCAATATGCATTTTTTGTCAGATACTCTTTATTTCTGGACTTGCTCTGTGCACTGAACTTAATCTCATTTAAGACTAAAGGCATAAAGCTTCGTAAGTATACAGCATTAAAAAATGCTTGCTTATATAAGCAACTGCATGAAACTGTATACATACATTTGACTACTAGCCCATTGTGCAACATAAGACCAAGCATCTTTGATCTACTAAAAAAAAATTAAAAGTCTATCAACAACCAACTCATGTTTACTTTTAACACGCCTACTGCAATTAGATACACTTGTGAACAAAACAGGATTTTGTGCATGTGTGTGGTGTTTTTTTACAAAAATAATAACACCTCAGTGTAAGTTAAATGGTAGCGACTGCACACAAAAAAAAGGAAAAATACACAAAGAAGGGCTTGTTTGGCAATAATAAAATTATTTTTAAAATACTGCTATTCCTTATTTTTAACTCTAGGGTACAACACAGTGCCAAGAAAAATGGCACCAATTTATAATTAAGATTGAGACGAATCAAGGGTCAAACTGTTGGTATGTACACCTCATTCCCAATCTCTCAACATAAAACTACATACATTGAAAACTTCAATAAGATTAATGACTTCCTCCTCTATTTAAATTTGAAATGACAAAACATTGGTAATAGGCATAAAGATCCATTCATTTCCATCAGATTCATAAAACCGTAAGGATCTCAAACACCAATTCAAATGCAGAGTGAAGTATTTTGGATTGTATCTTCTAGTATGTCAGTTATATGCCCTAAATAAACTTCTGTAACTTTCGAATTTGTCATCCATGGATTATAAGAAAATTTACAAAAGCCTATGTTACTTTGAGCATACACTAAGGGATCAGAAAAGTAGGAAAACTGGGAACTGTAATGACAAGAAAATGTGAAAGGATGAAAGGAGGTCACCCAGAAGCACTTTTGAAAAGTAAACTTTCTTCTGGCTTCCCCATACATACACAACACTAATTTAGGCCATATCCAAACAGTGCAACAAATTAATTCCATGTTACTTGTTGTGGCTGTGCTTCTCTGCCATTAAGAACCTGGAAAGAGCATGCTACGGCTCCCAACTGGCCCCAGTGCTAGAGATTTTGCTCATGTGACAAGCTGGATGACAGAAAAATCTATGTCCAGGTTTTGCTCCAACACGTAGTTGACACATTTCTAGAGATATCGAACCAGAGAGCTTTTGGGCCCCAAAGTTTAGTCACAGCTCCAGAATCCCTTCAACAAAAGACTAAAAGTAACTGAATGCTGACTGTAGAAGTTAGAATTCAACTTACTCCATTATATAGATCACCTCTGATATTTAACCTTCATATACTACTTGTTTCCAATGATGTGATCCCCAAAATTATTCGTATATGCTGAACCAACAGTATCACAAAATGACAGTTGTATATGTAATGAAAATATGAGAAATTCCTTGATCTTACATTGCTACAATAATTGATAAATTGGCAATAAAGCCCCCACAATCCTGACTCAACTTTTAGTGCATCTAGATAGAATCCAGAATTGATAAATTTACATAAGTGGAATTTTAGAAATGCATAAGGGTGAGATTCAGAACAAAGATTAAGACACTTAAAATGGTATCTACATGTAAGACAGCTGTATAGTATCTGTAAGTGAACTAAATCTAATCAAAACAATCAATCCAGTTAACCATATACAGATATCTACATTAGGGTAAGATGAATAGCTCTCTAGATCCCACAGAGTAGCACTGCACTGATTCTAACAGAGGTTATGCATGTATACACTTGGATACGTATCTTGCATGCAACCTTACAGAAACATCAAGACTTAGGGGACAATTTGTACAGATTGCGACCTTTAAATGATGTTTGAAAAACTGTGTTTTACAGTCTTAAATTACTTTGATTTTTTTAAAAATACATCTTAATATGTGTGTTTAATGTGGCTTACATTAAGGGAGATAAGATGATGAAAATTGACTAAGCTAGTGATTTCAGATGAGGTAGTAGTTGAGTACTCCATTTTAATATTACAGTGCTCCTCAGGTTCTATATCTGGTCCACATCTCTATTCTCACTGCTTGATACATATTGAGCTGGCTTACATTTCTTTACAGCTATTACTGACTGGAAATTTTTACTAGACTAAATATCCTCTCTGAACTGGCTAAACTAGGCTACTCAGAAATAGTGTTCTTAGCAGAATTAGTAGTGGAATTGTTTCACTGTGCACAAAATGACTAATCAGAATGCACAGATACTAACCAGTGGAAAATGTTGGAACTCTAAACGTCCACTCAATTTCACTGATCGTCATACGAGGGTGCATTCTCGAGTCTTCTCGAAGATCCCACACCAACAATGAACCATCTATTGTTCCAGCAAAAACTAACGTTGTTTTATTGGGACTGAAGCAGCAACATACCACCTGTTAAGCAGTAAAAATATGCATGGTTGATATTATGATAAAGGCCAATGATTTGATAAGCCTGAAATATTTTTGTTCTTCCTAAGGCATGCAGATCCAGAAAAAACAGATTACAGGTGTTTGCGGCAGAAGGACAACTTATTTAAAATGGAAGTAGGATACAAGACTTTCAGTAGGCCTTCCATTTTCAGGACAGTTGTTGTGTAATCCATATCTACTACCACAAAGCTGAAGGGGGTGATTCAACTGTATGATAGTGATGAGTGGAGAGAAGTCCTGACAACATCTGAACAAGTTGTTTTACTTCCATTCACTCTTCAACCACAAAATGGAGTCAAAAGTTAAAAAAAAAGAAAAACCAAACCACTATGACCATCTCTACATTCTAGTACCGGTGCACATAATGGAATGAGAGCAGTGTCTTGCTCAGTAGGCTCAAAAGTGTATCTCAAAGGATAACACATCTTGCAGCAAGACAAGAAAACAAAATACATATAATAAAGCTATTTATTCAAAGTGCAACTATACAATGTTATTGAAACATACCTCTGAGTCACATGTTAAAACTTTCTGAGGACTGGAGGGCTGCCAGATGTTCCAAACGCATATGATGCTTTTTCTGTTCAGTAAAACAACACCTGCCTTTTCAGGTAATCCATGAACAGAAAGTAGTGACTGCCTCTGAACTTGAGAGACATACAGGCAGGATATTTTTCGGTCTAAACCATTAAAAAAAAAAAAATCAAGAAAGAAAGGAAATAAATAAAAAAGTAAACTCACTGCAGATGAAAAAGCGTATTTAGCTGCTATAGCAACAACCAAAGAAGGTAAGACATAATTATGAAGAATATGTCTATTAACAGTGGGTGGCTTTCGATGCTATAGAAGAAAAAAGGAGGGACTAGGGAAGGAATCAAAAAAATTAGAAGCAAGTAGAAAGCAAAAAGGAAGGGAGCCAGGAAGTTAATAGAATAATTATTCTGGGCATAAGCAAGCTAATCTGATCTGACGTCAGTATATATACACTGAGAATTAATCAAAGTCTCAAACATGAAACAGCACAGGCCAGGCTTCTACTTCATCTCATGTGTTCATGTTAGAGTATGTATGGTTTTGTGTTATAATAGGTCTTCCTAACATAACTATAGATGTTTTATTTTTCATTTTTCTTTTCATCTGAACATCTACCGTTTATATGGGGAAGATATAACTGCAGTTCAAATATATCAGGCAATATTCTCCCCGTTCAATAACCTTGCTTCATTTGCAACTTTGGCTCTACTGCCAGCATAAAGACCCTAAATGAAATGACACCTCTTGGGATAGCCTTTCAACAACAGGGGCAAGAAATTACATCCAGGGCACCCCTATATCATGCTAATCACTGCCTATATTTCTGGTTTCACAGCAGGTAGGATGCTCTACGTTCCCTATGTGAAACCAATCTGCACAGAGTTAGAGCAAGACTAGCACAATTAAAAGAAAAGTGGGCTTTACATCATCTATATATCCTGATATGTGCTGTTTGCAATTCAGTCATAAAAAAGACCATGGTATTTTGCATAAGGAAGAAGAGTTCACACTGTATACTAAAAGGTGTAGAATAAAGTTCCCTTACCATGGAGGAATGGCTGGTTAGTATTTAACTGGAAACAGCTATCACTAATAGACAGACTGGTTTGTCGAGATCTTAGTTTCCACCTGGGTTGTGTTGCAACTTGATCTTCCTCTAGCAAAACAGCAATCACCTTTCAAACATAATTACATTTATAGAAATAAAAGGGTCATCTTATCTTTCAGCTTTGCTATTTCTAAAGTATGTGGATTAATTTAATAAACCTTTATCCACTCTCTTATTAATTTTATCTCTTAGCAAATACGATTTTACAGACTTAGAAGTTGCACAGCTCTGGTTCCATTCCTTTGCAGAGAGATGAATCTCACTGATAATGAGTATTATTTAAGTAATTCATTTAAATTAGTCAGAACAAGTACTGTAAGTGATCTATCACACTGTATACTGATGCACGCAACTCATAAGGGATATTAAGTACGTAAGTGTACCTGGCAAGCAGACCGAAGGAAATTTGCTAATCTTTGTGAATTAATTTTAGGTGTTAGAGTTCCATTCACTGACATATCCTGGCTGTTTATGGGACCTAAGAAAAAACAAAACCCAAAACCAAACTTGAAGCTTCAAAAGGGAATTAAGAAAACTGTAAGAACAATGTAATTTTTAAGCAAAAGGAAAATGGCAGGAATCAACTTCTCTTCAGCAGAAATAACAGTACTGACGAACAAGATCTGTTGGGGAATCATATCTCCTGCCAACATAAACGGCAATCCAGAAAGAAGAAACTATTTCTGCCATTTATTCTCCACCCCCTCCACAGGGGGATTCAGAGTGCCTATAGCAGTTTGGTATCGATTCAGCCTGTCACATTACAAATTCTGACAATTAATGGGTTCAAAAGAAAGTTTACATGCATACATCCATAAATGAGTAAGACTAAAATGTTCTTCACCTCCAGATACAAGGGCACTTTCTCCTGGATGCTGTGTCCATTTCTCCAGTGTCTCAACTTTCTCAGTCTGAATGTCTCTCTCAAGATTGTCCTCGTTACACTGAACATATGCCTAAAGAGATCAGTATACGGGTGACACAGCTAAGAATGACAGCATGTAACTGAATAGAAGTTAAACAGTTATTTTAAAACTGATGTGCTCAATCTCTTCTGTTCGTAAATTTAGACCTAAGTATTCTGACACAGACAGTGTCACTATTTTGTGCATGCACATTTCACCACATTTTGCACAAGAGTGCTAGACCTACTGCAAAAATATTGAATGTCTTACATTAGGCATAAACACTAAACCCAGCACACCTGGGACAGTGAGCCACAAACATACAGAAAGTCCTTTAGAATATGGGGAAGGAACATGAGTGTCCTGGTTTCGGCTGGGATAGAGTTAATTTT